GCGCTAGGCTTTTACTATAAAATCTACTTACAATAGGTGGTGCAAAAGCACACACACTATGCACAAACTTTTATTATTCAAAGTACCAAAGGCAAATCAACAAGCTGTTAGAGTTAGTATAACCCTAGAGCCGATAGTCCTGCTCAAGTTGATTTGCACTTTGGGTATTTTTGGTATATTAGTTTAAAAAAATTTAAGGTCTTATATATTGTAAAAAAAAAACTTCATAAAAGGTTACACAAATCTGACCAATTAGTGATGACTAATTTTATTAAAGAATAACGATAACATTCCAACTCTAGTTTATATACTTTTTACATTTTCAAATAAAATCAATTTAAAAAAATTGATTATAGAAATAAAATGAAATTTAAATAAAGATTTTGCCAAAATAGTAAAATTAAACTCGAATGAATTCATGGTAAGTATGATATTTTTTATTACAATGTCTATCACTAATATTAATTTGAATGTCAAATAATGCTTTAGAACTGCTTAATATTTTAAATACCACTTTATATAATAAAACAAATCGGTAAATAAATATATAATATTGATCATGCATGATCAATATTATATATTTATTTTAAATTGGTTTATTGCAGAGATGCGATACTTGCATTATTTTTTGCGTTCATACAAAGAACAATATTATAATTGATTACATTTTTTCTCTAGAAATGAAAACATAGCAAGCATTCTTTGACAATATAAACAAATATATGATGAGTATAATAATTTAAGAAATTACCTCACATAGTTAAATTAAATTATTATATTTTCAATTGATCAAAATAAATTATTATTATCATATTCTCAATTGATCAAATAAATTAATTATATTTTCAATTAATCAAAATAAATTTATAGCTCATTTTTAATTAATTAATATATTATAAATATTTGACAATAGGAAAACTCGGAAATCTTTATTTAATAAGACTTCTTTGTACTAAGTAAAAAAAGTTTTTTAAATCTATATTTTATAGTTAACGTTAAATTAATTATTGTTGGTGAATTGACTAAATTAAGGATACTGAATTAAATTCTCAGATAATGATTTTTTATTAAAAAATAAAATAAATTATAATTTCCCATAAGATTTTATATTTGTAATTATCGTTATTAAATAGTTATTCACACGAATTTACATACTAAATCACATTAATTAATGAATAAAACATCTTTAATTTATTTTTAGTAACATGTAAATTTCTAAACAATACAGATAATTTAGTTAAAAGCGACTAAAATGAAAAGAAGTTGAGATACTTAAAATATGTCCTTAGCATTAGAGACTCATTGTAATATCGATTATGAATGCCTTGATATGCTCATTGAAGTAGCGGAAGATTTGCAAAAAAATTTTGGTAAATCTGTCGAACAAAATGAAATTGATAGTGACCTGAGAAAACTAAAAAGTGAACTAAATATTCATAGTAGTTATTTTAGAAAGAATAATTATGAAATACTTAAACATGTCGAAAATTACCTTTTTAAACAAAACAATTCCATTTTTGAAAGGATAACACTGTTGCTTAAGCATAGATATAATCGAGGAGCTGCTAATAAAATTACAAAGTATTTTAATAATTATGCTTATTTTATAATTTACAAAAAAAACCCAAGTGAATATAAAAAGCGTTTGAGGCAATTATTATCATTGAATGATCATAAAACATTTAAAAATCGTTTCATGCATCAAAATTGTATATTAAAAAAATTGCATCACAAAAAATATTTATACAGATAAAGATTTCTTTAAGTACTGTTCGCAAAGATATAAAAGAGATTTTTTCCAAATATTTCTAATTGACTTAATAAATGTAATTAATTATAATATATATCCAATAGATATAACTTAATATAAAATAAAAAAATCAATTAACAGTTAATGTTATGTATTAAAAAAATTATTTAAATTCAACATTTAAGCTATAATATTTTAATTAATTATATCTACATTTTATTTTGACTTTCTTCAAACAATTCTTTTAAAAATTTAACTTCATGTGTTAAAAACCACTAACAATTAAAAATTAAAAAAAATAAGAACCAAAAACTCTTTCCCGTAGATCCTAATTCCATAAGTAAACAATAAAAACAAAACACGGTAAAAGAGTAAAGACCTCACAGTAACTATATA